GATACCACAGTGACTCATCATTTTCTCGTTACAGTTTTCAAGCAAAAAAAACCCTACATATTTTTTAGTGATAGTACAAAATTAGTATTAGGAATTCTTGTATGGTTAGCATTTTCCATTTTTGGTAGCATTTGTGTACACATTTAAGACTTCAGGCCATTCATAGATGTCCCCCGCCAAATTTTAGTAAATTATGTTCATTACTTTTTACGTTCTATACTAAAGTTTGCCACCATGAGAATAATTCTTTTTGAAGGATATTGTTGTTGAGGAATAAGTGTAAGGAAAGAAAAGGAAGAGAGCGACTTAACTTAGGCATCGCTACCTTCCTTTACTTTGAAGGTTGATCCACAACATGTTAATATTCTAATGGGAAAAATGCTTTCAACCCCCAAAAGCTAAGAAAACATGCTTCCCACCCTAAGACTTTGTCAACGGGTGTTTTACCCTCAAAAATAAAGATTTTGTTCTCTGAGCCCCCAAAACACAAAACCAAAGACATTAAAATATGTAAAGATCATAATACCCTTCTCTCTCTCTCTTTCTTTTTTTATTAAAATATGATGAGGATTATTTTATTATTTTCGTTTTCTCTCTCTCTCTTTATCATGAAGTATTGAGATGATAGTTGAAATGATTGATGAGGATTATTTTATTATTTTCGTTTTTTATTATTTTGGTTGTTTGTATTGGGAGATTGTTAAAGTTATGGGTTAATTGTTAAGGTTACGAATTAATTGTTAATGCTATGGGTCAATTGTTAAGATTATGAATCCTCTCTCTCTCTCATTCTTTTTTTATTAAAATATGATGAAGATTATTTTATTATTTTTGTTTTCTCTCTCTCTTTATCATGAAGTATTGAGATGATAGTTGAAATGATTGATGAGGATTATTTTATTATTTTTATTTTTTATTATTTTGGTTGTTTGTATTGGGAGATTGTTAAAGTTACGGGTTAATTGTTAAGGTTACGAATTAAGTGTTAATGTTACGGGTCAATTGTTAAGGTTATGAATCCTCTCTCTCTTTCTCTCTCTCTCTCTCTCTCTCTATCATGATGTTTCTTTGATGATATTGAAATGATTAAAGAGGATTATTATTTTTTTATTTTTATTTTTTATTCTTTTTGTATTTTTAGAATATTCGTTGTTAAGGATAATGGTTGGTTGTAAAGGTTATGCATTGATTGTTAAGGTTACGGGTTTGTTGTTAAGGTTAAGGGTTTGTTGTTAAGATTATGGGTTTGTTGTGTAGGTTACGGATTTGTTGTTAAGGTTACGGGCTTAATTGTTAAGGTTACGTGTAGGTTACGGATTTGTTGTTAAGGTTACGGGCTTAATTGTTAAGGTTACGTGTTTAATTGTTAAGGTTACGTGTTTAATTGTTAAGGTTACGGGTTTAATTGTTAAGGTTACGGGTTTAATTGTTAATGTTACGGTTTAATTATTAAGGTTACGAGGGAGAGAGAAGGGATCCATAACCTTAACAATTGACCAGTAACCTTAACAATTAAACTCGTAATCTTAACAATTAAACCCGTAACCGTAACAATTAAACTCATGACCTTAATTAAACCCGTAACCTTAACAATTAAATCATAACATTAACAATTAATAAACCGTAACCTTAACAATTAAACACGTAACCTTAACAATTAAACCTGTAACCTTAACAACAAATCCGTAACCTACACAACAAACTCATAATCTTAACAACAAACCCTTAACCTTAACAACCAACCCGTAACCTTAACAATCAATGCATAACCTTTACAACCAACCATTATCCTTAACAACGAATATTCTAAAAATACAAAAAAATAAAAAATAAAAATAATAAAATAATCATCAATCATTTCAACTATCCTCTTGGTA